AAGGCTTTATTAAGTATTGAGATTAGTGTACTTTGTAAATTAGGTTATGGATCATACTGAAAGCAATGAATTTCCAGGTTTTATCTAACCCACAAGGATTCTCTGAATGGTGGAGGGAATTTGCAAAGTAAATAAAATCTCTTAATTGTACCTGAAATTAATGAGTAAACACAGGAGTGAAGAAGGGGAAAACAAATATGGAACTCTGACAGTTTTACTGTATTTTCTTTTAGTTGGTATAGAAAAAAAAAAAAAAGCTCCTGCAGGCAACAAGAACATCTGCCTTGCAGAAAGCCCATCACTACATGATTTACTTCCAGTGAAATCCACATAAAAACAAAGCTCCAAGAAGGAATGACCTGAGAATAACTGACTATCACATGCCCATGTCCAATGGGGCTATTCACTGAACCAAGGGCTTACACAATGTAGTTCTCAAATATCTCCAATCTGTAAGTCTACACTCTGTGCCAAGAGCCAAATGTGAACAGCTAGTCAAGTCATAACATCTTGCATATCATTTCGTATCTACATAAAGGCAGAAAGGAGAGTTTCTTTAGAAAGTGCACTGACTTATAAAGCAAACCAGATTTTGAAACAGTAGGCACTTGAAGAGGGACACGAATCAGATGATAATTCAGGGTGTCAAAACGTGGTAACACAAACCATTCACTGCTTAAGTGTAACAGCAAATGAAGATCTGAGATTTATCTCAGATAAATCCATTCATACATAGTGTTAAAGCCTGTAGAAAAATGTTTAACTTGCAAACTTGTAAGGAATGGGCAAGGAGCACAGCCAGCCTTTTGCATCATTATTGCATTGTTACCAAGACTACAGTTTTTAAGAAGTCTTTTGAAGGAGGCAAAAGGTTAATCTGAAACAATAACTTGAGTTCAACTATAAGAAGGAATTTACGTGTTAATATTACCTGGATAGGTAAGCAAAATGCCCTGTAGCTGAAGAACTGCCACAATGGAAGCACTGGTTTGACTCCAAGCCATGGAGATATAGTCAAGTCTTCCAAGTAACATATATTTTTGGAGAACAATGACAAGACTTACATGGGGACAAACGTTCCCTTGATTTTTCTTAAACATTTATTCTCAGAACCAATGTAGCATTACTGTTCTCCATTCACATTTGCAAAGCTGCTTTATTAAAAACACCAGTTCCAAGCTAGTTAAAAAGGAAGTATCAGAGAGACCTGACCAGTGTACTTGTTCAAAAGGGATAGATGGGAGAAGTCTCCAAAGCAGATTCAAGTATAGGGAAGAATAGCTAAAAAGTTTGATAATATTTAACATTAAAATTCTTAGAAGATATCACCTGTTCAAGTATAAAGGGAACAAAAATACCAATACAGAAAACACTTCTTGGAACATCCTCAGCATAATACCACACAGAGCAAAGCACTATTGTTCCAAAAAAAAAAAAAAAAAAAAAAAAAAAAAAAAAAAAAAAAAAAAAAAAAAAAAAAAAAAAAAAAAAAAAAAAAAAAAAAAACCAAAAAAACCAAGAAAAACCCCAAAGAAAAAAAAAAACCAAAAAAAAAACCACCAACTTTGTGTGCTTTACAAAGTTCAGAGACTGATTAAGTAATTTATGAAAAATATTAATTGTATCAGAAGATACTATAAAGGTAAAACTGAGCAGTGATTAACACATGAAAAGTAAAAAGTTCAGTGTAGCGCATTCTCATTTTTATAACTACTTTTTATTAGGAAAGAAACTAATGTAAGTTCTTTCTTTCAATGTCCCTACTCCTATCAATTTTTTTAACCTGTTTCTAATTTCAACCAGTTGCAACACAGGTGTTGCAGTTGCCAAAGATACACAAGCTCTTAAAAAGTTCCATACAAATAAATGGACAAGTCCAGGAGCCCTTCTAACTTGTCCCTACTTTTCCCTTAAGAAAACCTGTAGCACTATGACGAACGTTGAAGGTGGAAGGGGAGGGGAACTCCAGGAAAGAGGCTTTTCCTTTTACCTCTAGTCCTGGAGAGGGAAGGTGCTCCCTCCTCCCTTCCCCCCTAACCACGTGGCCTCTCACGGCTCTCGAAGAGACCACAGGACGCCCGCAGCTGGCAGGGTGAGCAGGCAGAGAGTGAGTTTATTGCTGTGGGTAACTGCTTAAATACCTTTTAGGGGGATTACAGTGTAACCAGTGGGAGTCCAGGAGGTCTTACAAACCAACCAATTACAAGAAAGGGTTAACAGCCAATAGGGAGACTTTTAGTTATCTCTCAGGACATACCACAGGTACAGTGAGGACTAAAGGGATCTTGGGAAGAAGAATGGTTTACACAAAGAGTTACAAGGCCATTTTGGAAGCATGTTCACTTTAAACAACATTACAACTTCTACATCCTTTTATATATTGCAAAGTTACTCCAACAGCACTAACGCAAGTTTTAGACACCATTAGGTGATAAACACAACCAGTGCCCAAGGCATAATAAAGCTTCAAATCAGCACTTTATTATACACCAGAGAACCTAACAACAAGCTATAAATTTGTGAGTCCAGATTTTACTACCATCATTGCTTAGACCGGGGAAAAAAGGCTTAGCTGCTTCTGGTTGTTTTCCATCAAGTCTACTGCCTGTTAAGGGACAGTACCTACATTAGCTGGTTGCTTGTTAGTCCAATTCCTGCACTGTACCAGTATCCATCTAAACCTCCATTTCACTGCAATCCTGAAGTCACCCAGGAACATTCCATCTGTACACAGGAACTGTGCTGATATCAGCTGTTCTTTAGTCTTACATACTTCAGTCTGATTTCATCTCTCCATCGCTTATAAACACACACAAAGATTTTGCAAATTAATTTTTCATGCTTTCTCATCTAACAGAAAGTACTACCAGAGACCAGGAACACATTTTTTAAAAAAATATACTGAATTTTACGATTCTGAAAAGTTCTAAACACATGCCAGCAGCAGGTATGTGAAAATTCCCCTGAAACACTCAAACAAATAAGGGTGCTTTAATATGGGATCTAAAGTAATTCCATTTGGTGAATAAACCTCAGTTCAAGTCAGAACAAAGCTAAATTTTGGGGAAATCTGTATAAATCACATTACTATTTTTGAAAGTCAATTATGATCACTTTAAATCCAATTATAACCATAAAAGTTTTGTTATTTATTCAAAAGCCATTTACTTCAGAATTACAGGTGACACCTTTACCTGAATCTGGTAAGAGAAGGTCAGATACTGTTAAGGTTGAAATTGTTGAAGCAGTGACCAGTAAGAAAACCACCCCAAGCCACATGCCCCTGTTTGTGCAATCTGCTACAACCCTCCATCAGGATAAAAAAAAAAAAAATATTATTTTGCCCCTGTAAAAGTGATACCCATTTGGGCAAGGTCTGATTTCTTCGCTTACTGTTCTGTAACAGCAGCCTAAAACCCACGCATATTCCTCATCTCCATTTCATCAGTACCCAGAAAAAGCAAGAATCGTCAGTTTCTACCAGGGAGAGAGCAAAGGAAAGCCTCTCCTCTGAGTGCAAATCAAGGAAACAATATGATACAGCACAGTTCGGGAGAACAGTACATTTATATTCTTTTGAAAAAACTGCAAATGATCAGGTAGCGTCACTCCCATCAGCAAAAGAATCACAAGCTTAATATGTTCTTCAAAACTTATTTTTTGAATAGTTAACTCATCACGCCTTCCATGCCCTTTAGACAACCCAACTTAATTGGCAAAACCCATCAACTCACCTCATGTTGCTGACATCAACTTACAGACCTGTCTTAGGAGCCGTGCAGCCGCCAATTCTTCATAAAGTCCATGCAACAAACAAAACTGGAAGGGTTCAACCATTTCTTACCACTGCTTTCAGAAAATGCCCTTTTCCAGCTTTCTATTAAAAACACTTTCTCTAAACTTACCCCTAAATCACATTCATTCTTTCAAGGATCAGGGATTCTGTCAGGTCTGGTAAACCAAGGTATGAATCTCCTTTCCTCAATTAAGAAAAGATCAGAAAAAAATAATTTGTCACTGCTACCTGCTCAAATCCCAGTGTCCTGCAAACAGGACTGAGAGAATAAAATCCAACTTAGAGCACACCACTATTAATGGAACCAGCCTGGCTTTCAGAAATTCACAGAAAACTGTTGATATTTTGTTACCACCTCCCTCCCTATAAAGCAAGAAGACTGAAACACTTATAACCTACACTCCTTAGTCTCTTTTTTTGTTTGTTTTTTTGTTTATAAAAATCAACAATCTTCTGGCTGACAAAAGGAACACTTTTTGATATATGTCCCTTCCTGAAACTAAACTTACAAAGCATCTCTCACACAAATGACAAGTTCAGCTCTGGTTGAAGTAGTAATATCAGTGAGATTTCCCCCCAAATTTCCTCATCTTTACAGAAAACTTCCTCACTCTCACAGCATCTTGTAACAGAGAGCTGCAGCATAAGCCACAGAGGGTGGACAGAAGGTGAAAGAAGGAAAGCAAAACTTTCAGGTTAAACAAGATAGCTCTTCTGGGATAGGAAAAAAAGAGCTGTCAAAAGCCAGCATTTTATTGACTGGCTCTGAGTAGGAGCTGGCATCTGGTCAAGAAAATATTAAGGATTTCATGAAGTGAGTTAGGTAGCTCAAATGCTGAAGGAAATATTAAAGAGAATAGAAAGACAAAAAACAGGAACACCTACAAGATTGTTTTGTGAAATTCTGTTAGTACTGGGGATTAAAAACCTCTAAAATTGTAGTGTTTTTCCATGTTTGCTAGCATTCTGGAGTTTCTCTGAAGAGTCACTTAATACTCATACAATTATGTTAAGTACAATATAAACAAGAAGAAAATTGGTTTAGACATCTTTATTATTTAATAACACAAAGGCAGGAGTTATTGCTCTAAAGATGTATCAAGAACCCAGGATTCCAGCTGTAAAACTCAGAGTATGACAGTAACATGCTAACACAATGGTGATAAACAAGAAATACCAAAATACTAACTGTAGAGTAGCAAGAGGCTTTTTGGTTTGGTTTTTGCTTTTGTTTTGGCGGGTTTGTTGGGGTTTTTTCCCCCTAATTGTAATAAGAAAGAGTAAAGTCACTTTAGCAACTGAGACAGTAACATAAGAAACAGTTCTCAGTGTCCCTGTTTTGCTTCACTGTAGGTATTCAGGATTCGTAAGTATTTGATGGTCCTCAATTTACCTTCCACTACAGAACAAAATAGCCAAAAACTGTGGCTGAGGCAAGTATACCTTGCAGAAAACGTTTCAGACCTTATATGGACTAGAAGTTAGAAAAACAGGTATTTTCAACTAGAAGCACCGCTGGCACACATCTCTAGCCACAGATGTTAGTATTCATTTCTGAGACTCCCAGATGTTCAGTTTTTAACTTCTAGATTACTGCTGTTCAGCATACAATTCATGTCTATACTGTAACAACTACTCAATTTTAATTTCATCACATACATATTTCCACATATTATTATAAGAAAATAAAATTGAATTTGATACATTAAACTGATTTCTTTTTAAACTTCAAAGTTCACAAGTGTTACTGTGGTTGCATAGTTTAACACATGCATCAGACCATCAGTTTCTAAAAATACCACGTTATAAATTCAGCACTTTACTTGATAACCACAGAAGCAGCAAGACAAAAAAGTTTGATATTCACAACAAAAAAAGATATTAAAACACCATCCAACAGAAAACTAAATTTCAGAAAGTTCAGTGAAAATGGCTCACTACATAAGTATGTACTTAAACAGCACCATCTGAACAATTATTTTTAGAATGTACTAGGACTACGATGCATTCCAGCATAGTAAGAAGTCACAACTGCCATGAAGCAGTAGCCTCAAGGCTATATTAAGACTATTCAACAATTTAAATAAGCTGGTGAATATAACAAAAGATCTAGGCATTAGTTAGAAAACAATGTTTTGTGGTAACTGATTTAAGAAATTAATTGGATTCAAGTACAAACATCTGACTAGTTTACTCCAATTGCCAGAAGCAGAAAACAGAAAAATAAAAGTGCTCTTTACCTACTGCCAGAGGGTCTAGTTCACCCTCCTGCCACCCATTCTCACACTCAGTTCAAGAACAAAACTTTCCCCTATCCTAATCTGAACATTAAAAGTCAGTCCTATTCTTCAAAACTAATCTCCTATAGTGAGAAAGTACAAAAGTACAGGGGCATGTGCATGTGTTGTTCACTACTGCCAAACGTAAGGTTTTTATTTGAAATCTCCCAAGATATTTAATTAAGTTTGGCTACAGAATACCTTAGGGAGAAAACAACTGAAAGCTTTCTGCTTTCTAACAAGTAACTTCTCACTCTTACAGCAAAATTTAAGTTTTTTCCACTTTCATAGCTCTCAACACTTCCAAAATACCTTTTTGCAACATCAAACCACAGGAAACCTCAAAAGATGCACTACTTCCCATTTTGCCCATCGTGACATTTTGGCTCAAATTTATTTTTAAGTAGACCTGGAGAGGTAGAAGCCTAATTAAACAGCATTTTCAAGAGAAGCTTTATTAAAATTATTCTAATCATTTTAATGTAAGTAGAAAAAGCTTTACAAATGTAACAGTCTGAACCACAGCAGAACCCTGTTTCACAGATTCACGTGGCATCTCCTATGGAAGGAACAGCAAGATCCGATCACATTATTAGACCTGTAAACTCTTAATCTTGGATTTATTGACTTATCTTCAGATAGGAAGATGCCAGGTTTAGGTTTTATAAAAGTCATCTATATGACACTGTAACAAAAGGACTGTGGGAGGTCAAACGTTTCCTAAAGAATGATCCATTAGAAGTAACTTTCTGCCTAGGCCTCCATTTCTAGGGTGGCTCTGTGTGATGGAAAAAGGAGTCATTTCTTTCCCAATCCCACTTTTGTCAGGAGATCCTGCTTAAGGAAGGCCAAGATCCAAACCCAGTCATCTTCCAGCAACATAAATGGCTGTCAAGATCTTCTGCTGAAGGCTTGTGATGCAGTATAAAGGTTAGAAGGTGTCCTGAAGCAATTTGGAGGGAATGAAGAGGGAGAGAAGAGTCACAAGATGTATCAAAGTAATAATGCACGTAACATAGTTCCAAATGACTTCAACTCAGCACCAAACAGGAACTGGTAAAATCTCCTTAGAATTTCATTGCCAGTTTTCAAGTGATTCCTTTTGCTAAAAATCAAAAGGCAATTTAGAATAAACTTCCCGTGTCAGCAACGACATAGCTGGAAAAAAAAAAGGTCTGACTGTGGGCTACTGATGTTTGCAAGGAAGAGGCTGTCACTCTGCACAGCGTGAAGTGAGAAAGGCAGAATTTACCTGAGCTGATTCCCTTTCTTTGGGCCAGAGGGATTGCTGATATGTGGGTTAGCAGCACATCCCCTTACTCAGAGTATTCCAGTCTATTTGCTTCCCATGGACAAAGGAACAGGATTTTACAAACCCAGCAGCCACAGGCTCCTCTAAAGGAAGAATTTCTGTACATTTAGAACTGGGAAACTTTTTCAGTGCTGGTAATTAAGTCAGATTTCAAACTGATTGGGCAGCTTCCACCTCACAGCACATTCAAACCTAGCACTAGTGTAAAGAGACAGGGAGGAGATGAAAATTGCATGGCTAAGGGGCCATACACAATCACTGGCCTTATCTTGGCCCCAGCCACCAGTTTCTACTTGATGTAGTTTCCTGTCTAAAGAAGGGTCACACCAAGAATGTCATTAGTGCTTCACAGAACTGAAGTACAAATATGACCCATGGACAGGAAGCTTACACAGAGGCATAAAGAACATTCTTTCCAAGTGCTCAGAGCATTTTTTCTCCTCTCTCTCTCCCCCACAGTTTTTCTTTAAACTGCTCACACTCTTTCCCTCTCTTAGCCTAGAGAAGTAGAAGGCAACATAACAAAAAAATGCATAGAGAAACACCATAAAGTCCATCCTTCACACTTGAGCAGATGGCAGTTCAAAGGGGCCCTACCTACCTGCAACCCTGTTGTTTGCTTCAAGAACTCTGTTTGCCCAAGGAAAAAGAGACGAGCAAATCCTGGAAGCAGATCCTTCCCCAAAGGAAGTTTCTTTCTGAGTCTGCAACCTGGAGCTTTTGCTTGAGACTCAGTCCTCTGAGCGGATTCTTTCTTCAAACTCTCACACTGGTTCTTTACTTTTGTGGGCAGCTGGAAAAAGAATGAAGCCGTAGGCTGAGGCAGGGACTCCATACTTCCAGGATAGGGAGGCAGAAAGACTGGAGGGGAAGGAAAAGTGCTAGTTGGTAACTTCTTGGATAATGACCTGCATTTCCTCATTTTCTGCCACACAGAGACATACACAGTCACTGCAATAGGGGAGGATGACAAGAGATGGGTACTAGACATGCAGTGTTTTCATGCTCTGATGCCAAAAAAACCCCAAACCCATAGTGTTGAGCTGTGAACTTTCAAGACTTTTAAGACATCTACCAATAGATGAGATCAATCATAAGATGTTTTGTCCAGAAAGTTCTCCCAGTTTGTTGCAAGTAGATGTAGGTGGGGGTGAAAAAAATTTAAGCGCTCAGTTCTTGGGAAAAAATTCAAATCTCTCCTCTGTTCACTTGCTCTCAAGTGAATTAAAAATGGCATCTATTGCAATGCAGTGAACGTCTCCCCATAATCTCTTCAAGAAAAAATCATCATACTTACCTGAAATGTTTCCCTCACCAATGACTTCCTAATACCACTCTCAACTCCTCTGCAAAGGCCTTACTCCAATCTCAAGTCTTCTACTTTATTTGCAAAATCAGATTGATCAAGCACTGGCAGCAGTTTAATGCTGTTGTGACAAACCCAAATTTAACCCAGGCACATAATGATTGTTGTGGAAGTTAAGAACCTACCCAAGTTCCCACATCAGGTTTCTGGATTTCTAAAATATTCCTCTTTTTCCCTGAAAACCTAGATGTCGTCCTAGGACTTTAATGTCATTACTTGAACAACAAAAATATAATGCATAAGAGAGCTGAAATTTTCTTCACAAATACTGAAAGCTGCTAAGACTCCTGCGAAATGTTATCAGTATCGTGGAGCCAATATGCAACAAAACAGAACCAGAAGTCACTGGACTTAAAACAGTTATATGCACAGCTGCTCACGTGTGCATTTACGGGTTGTTATCCATTACAGTACCTTCTGCACAACAGCACAGCGTATGGCATTTGCATGTAGGGCAGCCACTGAGCTGTGTGCCTCAAATGAGGCACCATCATTTTACCTAGAGTGCTCTTCTTTGCTCCTAAGACACCAGGTTGAGTACGATCCAACAGTTAACCAAGAAGGTACATTACTCATTATGTTTGATGCAATTTCACTTAATTCATTTTAGGGCAATTGGTGGTGTTTCTTCATCCTCTCTTTTAGATACACACCTGAACAAAATAGCTTAATTTGGTTAGGTATCTCACATGTTCTTCAATTACAAGCTTTCCCCTGTTCAAAGAAGCTTTCTTTCATTGTGCTAAAAATAATAGAAGACGGGGAAAGACATGCTAGGTTTTCTCATTAAAACCACAGCAATTTTTGCAGTCCGAGTACCATACAGTATTTTCTCTTTTAAAGTGACACGTAAAGCTATCATGGACAGACCCTGATATGCAACAGTAATTAAAACAGAATCATCAGCAAACTGGTTCTAGAGAAACTGCTTGTGCATGCAGAAGGATACTCTGCTTCTTGGTTCCTCTGAGGACAATGAATATGGTGATGGCATCTCAATCTAAGGTACGAGCTTTTAGTCTAAACAGAGTGTTTCACATAAATAATTAGTTGTTTTTTAGTGGAATTTCATGACTTCTCAACAACATGAGACCAAGATGTGTTCCTATAACTTTCAATTTGACAAGTCATTGCCTTTTTGATTATTTCAGACCAGCTTTCTAAGATTAGAGAGTCAGGTTCAGTCTTTTAATCCCATATGCATGTTTTTGTGAAAGGAGGTCTTCCTGTTTGGGAAGAATAACTGATGAACACACACACACATGTACTTGGTCAAGAGATGTCTCCAGGATGATGTTTGTACTCCCTTCTTCCAGCAAAGGAGAGGACAAAAGATAAAAACGAAAGAGAAAATACAATAAACAGAACATGTTGAATCCAAGTTTCTACTGCTCTGTACTTGCTGGCTAAGAAAAACGTCACGGAAGGACAATAGCAGTAAAAGCACATTTCTTCTAAAAGACTCTCTTTTGCAAATAGAATATTCTTTTTAACCAGATAACTTGAAAAGTCTCTGAGATTCAAGGTATTGCAAGTTGCTAATACTAATTACTTATAATTCATAATTACAATGCCATACACAGCACTAACAGCTCAATTTCTGGTGATGCACTGAAGCCTACTAACACTTCTGAAGTCAATACTCCTTTCCAGTTCAAAGCAACAGAAGGTATCAGAGCAAATCAGTTCAGCTGAAGCAGCATGGTTTCTTTCAAACAGGAAATCTGCCTAGGGCCTCTGTGAGGAAACCTCCTTCACAGTGGAAGATGCTATTCACTGGAAAAAGACCCCAGATGGCCTTCAATATACTAAACCATATGAGATCAGAAGTGTAGAAGAGATGAGTACTTGGTCTTGAGTCATGTCTCCTCATAAGCAGAAGAGATAAAGATCCAGTGTGAAATTTAAGGAAAAAAAAAAAAAAAAGCATTATGAGGACTTCATCCATTGGTGGTTTCCTTGCAGAAACAGATTAACAGTTTATGGAAGATCAATCTGAAACATGCTGTTAGGAATGACTTGCTTTTGAATTCCTCTTCTTACATCAAGGTCATGGTATCTCTCCAAGAAAAGGAGTACACTTTAATTTTTATGCTTTTGTATGTAACTCTTCCCTTGAACAGACTTGTCTGGAACTGTAAAGAATAAATGAGACTGGTAACCTTTGTGTTCTAGCTATCAAAACTAGTAGCCTAATTGATTCTTACATACATGTATGTATTTCAGGCTGAACAAAATCTTCCTGTGTTTTGAGACAAGAAATGTTAATAAATACTCCTTTGCTCTTCTGAAGATTTAGAAGAGAGCATAGAGAGTACCTGAATCCCTTCTACAGGAATTTTGGGGAAAGTTTTTTTGTTGCCTCACATCAATCAACTGAAGCCGTTCATGCTATCGAGTTGAGATGTTAAACGAGCTTAAGCAGCTGAATATCCAACAGCTCTTCTCAGTCACAGTATTGTTGAGTTTGCTGATTTACGTCAAGAGCAGGCTCTGATGGGATCCTTTTAACTGGAGCAGGAAGAATTATGGCTGTGATGACACAAGAACAACATGATGATGACACAAGAACAACATGTCGATGATCTTCAGACACAGATGAAGTCAGGAAAGACACTGGTAGTTCTGTTTTTTAACGTGTGGAAGACAGCAAGGAATCCTATCATGAATATAATCATATCCTTTGAGTAAAGAAAGGAATCTCTGCAATATCTTTCCATAGCGACCTGACTGTTGATAAATACTCCTGGGAGGAAAACTCCCTTCAGTGATTTCTTCCACCTTCCTTCTCTACAGGACATGTTTCACAGCCAATTCATGACTGTAGTCTCCATTTTTCTGCATCAGTCAGCAGAAGCTCAATAGCCAAGAAAGGAAAAGTTTAAACAATTGTGAGTAAATTCTACAGAATACCATCTGCAAAACAAGCAAAAAAATGAATCTCCATATTTGGTAAATGGTATAGAAAATAAGCAACAATACTTCTTTATTTCTAATACTGCAGCTTCAACAACTGCAGTATCCAAGTGAAATAACACAGAAACAAAACACAAATTGCCATACCTGATTCAAGTTACTTGCCATCAGATCAAATACTTCTCAACCTTCAAACCGAAACTTTAAAGCAAGATGCAATTATTTTAGATTTAAGGTGCAACCAGCCACATGGATTTTTTGCAATTCCTAAAATGAAACTTAAGTAGTTGTTGTCCTGCTACCATTAATCATACCTCTAGAAATATGTGCAGGCTGCAAACCCACCGCAGGATCTATGCGCCACCATCCAGTTGAACTGTTATTCAAAATAAATATTAGAAGAATAGCAAATTTTAGTAAAACATTTTTCACCTGGAAACTAGCACCAACATGGCATATGTATTAAAGTATCAACAGGAGTGACAAAAGGCTGTTTAAATTGCAAGCTACTGACACTGAAAAAACGCTAGTTTTCCAAAACTTCCGGGTCGCTGTATTTTTTGGGGGTTGGGTTTTTGGGGGGGGGGTTTGTGCAGGGGGGAGGAGGAGATTTGATTGGAGAGAAGGGTAGAAGTCATTGAATATAATAATAACTATACTGGATAATGTTATCCAGTCCCAAGATGGAGAAAAGGCAGCAAAACCACTGGTCAAAGTGTTGATTTCGAAAGATCTTCATGCAACCCTTCATTCAAAGCCAATCGTGCCAACAAATAGAATGGCAGAAATCTTGACTTTCTAAATTTCAGACTGTGTTTTAAAGCATCAGGCCTCTCTCCATAAATGTTTTGTGATCAAATTCGTCAAAGGCCTACTAAAAGCCAGAGGGCCATAGCGCTGTCTACATTATCAGACAAGGCATCAGATAATACCTACTTGATACTGGCACAGGTACCAATTCCTCAAAGACCCTTCCTACTGCTAGTTTAGGAGAGGCAAAAAGCTATGGCTTTTCTGAACTCAGCATGACAGAATTCTGAAATTATATATAGCTATCACACCAACACATATTTGAGAAACACAGCCAGTATTTCTTGGCACATATACAACAGCAGGAAAACACTAGAGGTATAAAATTGAATGATTAGTTGATTACAGAAAATACTACCTTGTAAAAATAATTCCCATTAATAGATGCATCAATTTTACACAATTAAAAAAAATGGGTATTTGCTAAACAATGTTATAATTATTCTGCCCTTTTAAAAGCTGTTTACATTGCAAGAATATTTTTAAATATCTTCATTAACATGCTTTTTATTTCTTGTCAGCTTTTGTGCCAAGTACAGTTGAGAGCAAACCTTTTTTGGCCTAACTAAGCCATATTTTAAATCTGATTAACAGACTTCACTGGCACTAACATACATTTCGGTCATAAAAACAGACCTTCTTTCAGTCTTAGGGAAATTCTGTGCTTCTGGGCAGAGTGCTTGAGCCAATATTAAAAAAAAAAAAAAAACACACAACTTTTTTTCAAGACATCACATGATGCCTATTTGTTCACTTTTTCTGCTTCAGAAATCTAACTATAGCAGTAAAGGTTACAGTATTTATGTATACCTTGAACTTACTGGAAAAAAATTCCATAAAACCTGTAGTTTCTTACATTTAACAGTGCCTTTGTACTTTACTTTGTAGTTCTTAATACATGGCTAGTTTAATTTAATTTGATTCTATTTACATGCAATTAGGTTACACAAATTTCTTACGCAATTTTTTTTTTTAAAGCACCACTTTTCTTACTGAGCTCTCAATCTTCACATAATTCCTACACTTCTCTGGTCAGAGTCTTTCAGATCGTCTATCTGCAGAACCTGGAAGTGGAAATACCACACATAAGAAAAGTTAAGAGGAGTGATTCCAGTACTGTTCGACAGCCACACTACACTGGAGACCCTAACTTTATGGGGTTTTGGGAGGGAGGTAGGGTGAGGTCTAATCTGAATTTTAGGTTTTGACCCTTGATCATCTCCTCCATAACTTTGTTCTGGTGTCTGGGATCTCTGGAGAACTGAAATACAGCAGAGAAGCCCCTCTCATACAATATTTACTCCAATATATATATTTAATAGATTAATGTTAATAAAGGGCAATATGGACACACTGGTAAATAAAAGCTAAACAAATGTCCTGCTTTTTTTAAAGTTACCAGTTTCAGTGACTTTTTTTAAAGTCATCAGTTTTATTTTTGAAAGTACTCAGAACTTGCATTTCAGATTTGAGCACTTACTAGGTTACTTTCCATTCCAAATCCTAATTTCTACAGAGGGTCTAGATTTAGCATGCACTCTGATCAACAGGCTTGATCCTTCACTCGTTATTAGTAGCAATAAGAACTCTACAGCCAAAACTGGAATGAATTTTCTTGTAACTGTTAACTGTTAAGACAGAGTGATGTCAAATGCTATTGTAAGCTGTATTAGTTCTTCAGGATTAAGAAGTTTGTGATGCAATTGAGGCTTATTTTTTGTCTAGCAACACTTGATAGTGGAGACAAACCGATTTAGTTACGACTTGCAAATGATGTGCAAGCACACCATGACAGTTCTGCAATATATAGTCTGATTCTTAGGTTCAAGATACAAGTTTAAAAAGTCTCAGTGCAGTCAGTGATGTTGAGATCAGAAATACATTTTTTATTTTTACCTAGTATGTGTTAAAAGTACATTAAAAAAGAATCTTAGATTATCTTGTACTGCTACCATCATATAAGACATGCTGTCTTTAATTAGCTAATTAAATGTTTTCTGAGGAATTGCAGACTTAACTTTCCTTATTGGACTAGTGCTTCAAATTCACCCACATTTCAATATTAAATTAAAATTGTGTCATTCTTTCCAATACCACTTGGAATAAGACCACCACAAGTTTTATTATAAAAATGTTGATTTATCAGCTGAAATAAAGGCCATTTGAAATGTATCGTTTTGCTCTGCTTAAGTAAAACTGTTTGCACTTAGTTGTCCCTTTATCGTCTCTCCACGCAAGCACCTTCACACCTACATGCTTTGATCAGCCAGAACTCCCAGATTTTGCACTAGACACAATTAACTTTGGCAGTGCCTCTTCACAGGCATATCAGTATGCAGTGTTTGACTGTCATTCTGTACCTGTTAAAATATTAGTATTTGGTTTAGGTTGTGTTCAAGAACAAAAAAACAGTATCAAGTCACACATAAAAGAATACATACAGAAACACAAAAATGTCTTTTTCTAGCCTAGGCTTACTATTTTCACAAAATTATTCAGAACAGGGAAAAAGACAAGACATCAAACATCTGTACCAAAATAGAAACTTACCCCACTGACTGATCTGGGTTGGAGAGTGTTTAACCACACACTGAATCTCACAGGACCCTCCTTCCTTCACTTGAGTCAAGATTTCATTGGCAAAAATAACCACAATCCAGGGCAGATAAAAAAGAGCTTCCCACGCACTCAGGCACTGAGACACTACCACAGAATCATTACAGCTGGAAAAGACTTATGAATCCTCTTGAAAAACACCACCATTTGGATCATTACTAAACATTTCTGTATATGATTGGTGTCTACAACATGCATAGTTTATTTTGAAGTAAGACAACATACAACAGAGATATTTTTGACACGATTTTTTTACCATGACATTAGTTGCCTGATCTGATTTCTGTACCAAATAAATGTAAAGGTCAGTGTTTCCTCAGAAGAGTTGTTACATTTTAATAAAACCTTTCCTAAGATCAATTCTCCTATAAAAGTCCAACATGTCTCCTTTCCTTCCATTTTCTTTTTAAGGCGAGATACTAAAATAAGTTTGCAGCACGGCTGAAAACAGATCTGTATTCAAAGTTATCAGGTTTTAGCTGTATATTATATGCAAAGTATTGTATTTTCTACTAAATAGTTTTTTAGCCACCAAAAAAAAAAACTAAAAAACCCCTCACAAACATTCCATGCTGCTGTTACTTCCACATACTCTTAATTTAAAAGTCAAACTCCATTCTGTAGTTTACCTAAATGTACAAAAAGGAAACCATAGTGCATGTGACAAAGGCTGACATAGCTAACAAAGAAAACTGCAGAGATGCCTGGTAAAGTAGAAGTCCTTAATTATCGGCATGTGTTCAAAATCTGTTCTCTAGAGGCTGTAGTTCAGCATTATATTCTATAAAATGCAACAGAGAACAAGTCTGTATTTTTTAAGAGTCTGTATTTTTTAAGTGTAGTTACTCTTCCAAACAGCTATTTCCCCAAGTTTAAAATGATTCCTAATTCATAGTTTAATATTGCCTAGCTGCTTTTTTGCTTCTCCTTTTTCTGATGGCCAAGCATATTATTACTTCACACATATAATTTTACACATGCATATCAAGTAGTTTTCTACTCCTATTTCTTAACTGTTTTTATTGTAGACTTCAGTCCAACAGAAACACAAACTGCCATCAAGACGTGACTTACTGCAACAGTCTGCTACTCCTAGCTGGGTGATGTTTGAACATCCTTCTTCCAAGTCATCACAGAATTTCCATTTACCAGTCAAGTTCTTTCATTCTATTTTATAAAATAAAGCATGCATATTTATCTAAGCAGCCTGCATGACAAAAAATCATATACGGTACCCAAAAATATGCATTCTAATGGTACTTGGAATAGGCAACTGCACAACTTTGCTGAAGAGAAGCTACAGGAAGCACTTGGGTGAGCACACAATGTCACACTTCAGTACAGCATTAACTCCCCCCCCCGCCCAGATGAATTAAATGTAGATTTGAGAAATATAGCATATTCAACCTATGCTTTTCAGGCAATGTATCTTGACTTGATATTATGAGTCAATCTTTTAATTTTTTTCTCTCCCTTGTACATGTAAAATAGACAGAAAAAGAGGTGCCATAGAATAAAACAAAAGCACTAACAAACTACTAACTCACTAAGTACCACAATCAAGTAATAATTTGGTTTCACACTTAATATGGTTCACTACAATGAAGTGCAATGAAACATATAATCTGCGTTAGAGAAAATTACTTGGGACGATGCCTCCCAACTCCAAAGTGGGGGCAGAGAGCAGTTGGGGAGGGTGAGGAGGAAGACATGAGAAAGGGTATAACTCCACAGCTCCAAGGGAATCACTTGAACACCTGTCAGAAGCATGTACATTGGCAGACTGTTCTAAAAGAGCCAATAATTTAACCATGATAACCTTGGCCTTTAAGAAAATGAATCATTAACTGCACGGTACAGATTTTTGAACTCCACTATATCTGGAGTTTTCAACTGTAGCAAAACAATACTGAGTGCAGAGCAAATATATGACAGGCATTGGAACTGATGGTCCCTTGCAATCCAAACCATTCTACAGTTCTATGAATCTAGCAGCAACTTAATAAACAGTGGTAAGAGACATTATTGAGAAGGCTTAAGTATTTTAAAGGGAAAGAGACAAAATGTAAACCTTAACATTCTTCTCACTACACACTACCAATCAATCTTCTCTTTCCCCACCCATTCCCCAGCATGCATTAACACATATTCCTTCCCTCTTCATCACTTGTATCAGAGCAAATGGTTATTCTGAGCAGTGTCCTAGATAATAATGTAAAAAAAAATTATGTCTGTGTAGCAGCTTGCAGTCAGAGAAGTCACTATCATCTGACTAGCCTGGTTTCCAATTATCATAAAGGTGGATTTAAACTACCTCTACCCATTCATCTGCACCATGAATACATAGTGTATACAAAGTTATCTGAAATAAAAACATGATACTATGGACAAGGACGTCAGTAACCCATCTCCACACGGCCTAGTCATAAAGTACACAATCCAATGGGAGGAACCAGAGTTACTATGAGGAAGTTGAATTTACACAGACTTAACAATCTGTTTCAGAACTGGAGTTAGCATCAAGCACAAAACCTACAAGTTACAGGAAATGAGGGCTCATAGCTATCATAGCAATTAACTTGTCTCTATGTTTTATTAGAATTACTAATTTTGTTCAGAAAATGACTAAAAGTTAATAGAAATCTGTTTAGTTTACATACAGAGTTCGGAACTCCATAAACTTACAAATTTCTAGTTACTACATTTAAACAGTTTGCAGTGATAAACCTCTCACACTCAACAAGATTACTGCCCACTACTCATAGTTTAATCTCAGTTTTGACTGGGTCTTCAAGAAGAAAACAAAAAACAAAATAACAAAAAAAAACCCCAAAGTATCTCTGCTGCATATTCCCTACAAAACAACTTCTGAAGCCCCTATTCAACTTAAATCGAGTTTGACACCTCGAAAAACAGGAGAATGGACCAATAGAGTAGATAAGCATGGCCCTATCTTTGCATCCACAAGCACAAGGCAAAGGACAGCAAAAGGCATCCCCAACATTACTCATTCTGATGGACAATCATCAGCTATTTAAGTAGCACACCCCAAGAGAGCAGTAGCCCAGTCAGGGTTTTTTTTTCAGCCAGTCAGCAGGTCAAAATACACAAAGGAAAACTTCAGTGGGGAACACAGAAGAAAGAGATACAAGAAGAAATTAAATTACTGGAGGCAAAGGGAAGAGCAGCATGGCACAGTCATAGAGTCTTCTGATAAAAAACTCTGCAAGTCCTACATACACAGTCTTTTTTTTTTTTTTCCCTAAACTCCAGTACTCAGGGAACTTTTTGTTTGTCTCTCAAATATTAAACAAAAACACTCAGGGGAGGAAACAGACTTGAAAGTAAAATGTTTTAAGGTTAGTTCCTACATACTACACTCTCCTTGTTGCAGAACCGCTGACTGGACTGAACTTCACTGACTTCAATGCTCTTGAAGCATTAACTTTATTCATTTATGAAGTCACTGGCAGAACAGGAGCCAATTTTATGGGTATAACACTTAGGCTTCGACATTAGTCTGACTATTGCATCAGCCATGCTATTTTTAAGTACATTTCAGCTTCTTTTTCACAATCTGATGCAAGCCTATATAGTTTTTATTTTGTTTTTAAACACTGTTCCAATGTAATTTTGCTCAATGCCATCTTATCTGCCAAGTATTTAAGAGCCTTTCCAATATCATATGTCTATGAGTGGGAACATTCATTAATAGCAGGGATTGCTATGCTTGACAAGAGGGTTGCTAATATTAAAATCTGTCCTTCTAAATAATATGTAAAGCTGGCCAAAACATTTTTTGCTATTACTTCCATTTTACTACTTTTAGACCACATGAAGAACAGTATAAATATGTTTGGCATCACTGTGCAAAATACTGGAAAGGCATCAGAGGTACTAAACCTTGAAAACAAAACTTTTCTAACAAAGACACACAATAGAACAAGAAAAGGCACAAGAATTTATAATGAAAATTTTGAAAAATCACATTATATCAAGGTTTAAAACAATCGAAGCAGGGGGATTCTCTGAGAGTTTTCAGTCTTAAAAACTTACAACCAATACATGTTTATATATGCTGTATTTCAAAAAGCCTGATCAGTTGAATTTACAGCTCATAATTTTAATGTAATTTTAACTCTGAATTTGCACATGCACTTTTTTTAGATGATCAATGAACACATCAGCACTTGCCAGAGCTGGCGATCAAGCATTTAGAAGAAATTATTCCCTGTCAAGAGTATTTTGCAATAGATATAATTGTTCTTCCCCACACTTGTTTTAATTGCTCGTACTGGGGGAAAAGAACATTAAGTTCCCAGTTTTGAAGTACCCAACATTTTAGAAATCCCTTCTTGTTTAACCAACCAAAGCACAAAGGTTTTGAATGTGTCCTCCAACTGCAAATGGTTTTGAGTGCCCAGTTTGAAGTATCCTTGTCCCATTTTCAGGAGCATTCTTCCTCTGAGACCACCAGTATGAGTGTGTTTTAGAAAAATATGAAGCAAGACCTAGTCTGTGCTAGAATAAGGATCACTCAAGAAACAGCATGAAATAAATAATCAGCTAAAATCGAAGTGGCTTTATTAGAACACAAACCTTTAAAAAAAAAGAAAAAAATGGAATGCAACAGCTAAGTCAAAAGTACAACAGAACTTCACTACTGTAAAAAGTAAAAAAAAAGTTTGATCCCAATCGTCTGGGGTTGGGGAACAGCAAATGCCCTTCCCTGCATATTACCTTGGTTTTGGTTCACCTGACACAAACCAAAGTTTGAAATATTTCCAAAGAAGCAAAACCACATTTATGAAACATTTATGAAAGGTAGTGCAATACACTCTCAGAACCCAACATTAAAAAAGCTCAGCTAAAAGGCTAGTTAAAAAAGAATTTTGGAATTCTCAATCTAAGACTGCAGAAGAAATGCAACAGAATCTCTTAGGCCATTTTGCTGAGCTTTCCCCAGTTCCTATAACTATACTGTGTATCTAAAGAAATGCCTTCCTACAGTTTTCAGGTAGTTTACAACCTCAGAAAACATTCTAGAGTCTGATTTATCAGGTAACTTAACTCAATTAGGAAGTTAAAATCTTTGGTGTATTTCTCAGGTTGACTTGATCCTTCGACTTGCTTTCATTTCCATCAAGGCACACTCAGGATGACATTTGAAATATTGGCAATTTCTCAGCCATAACACTAATATATCTTAAAACACATGATAGGAAAACAGGTTTATCATATGTGAAACTTCTGTTGTCATGATGAAACTATTGGTCCACAAAATAGAAAACCTGGCAAAGAGGAGACAGACAGACTTAGATACCCACCTCTCCTGTTTCTTTTAATTCTTAACATCCAAGTTTCACAGAACTTCATGAAAATGTAATCATCAGGCACACAACAGGGTGTTTGAAGAGGGACATGTAGTTGCAATTCCTCCACCCTTGTTTTGCGTCAAGTTATCTACCAAAGCCACTTAGCAATTCAACAAACAGGAAAAAGAATAG